GGAAAGAGAGACCTGGTCACTGGGTCTCATGAGGCTGCCAGAACCACTTAATACAAAGCTGCTACAGGATGCTCTGAGGTGAGCAGCAAGAGGTTGAAAGACTCCAGGGGCGTAGAGGCTAATGGCACTGAAACAACCGTTCCCCCAGCCTACTGCCCACAAAAGACCAGCACACTTACTCCTTGCTTAACCCCAGCTTCTTGGAAAAACTAGGAACCTTTCTAGCCCTGCAAGGAAAGGAGTAGAGAACCAGAAACACTGCTCTGGCCCCAGACCAGGACCGCAGGGGCCTGCTCCCAGAGCCCATCACTGGCCCCCTTGCCTTAAGGAAGGGTTACACCACAGTCCCAAAAGCACAGAGCAGCTTTCTCAAAGACATCTCTGCTTGATTTAGCAATACACTCTGCTTCCCCTCCTCCCCTGAGAGCAAACAGGAGCTGGCTAATAGTCTACAGCTGCCCTCTTGCTGTCCCCTTTTTATTGTTTTAAACAGCTTGCTACCACCATGCAAGGTGCATGGCCAGCAATTACTACTGGGCAGTAGCTGTAGCCAAATTATATTACCATTCTGGCTTTAGTTTCACTTCAGCAGAAAAGACTGCTTCTTAAAAAGAAAAACAAACGCACATTGCAGAGATGCTTGAGCAGAATATTTATTCAATGCCATAGTGAAGAGCAAAACTTGATACAAACATAAACCCTCAGTGCCTTGCTCACTACTACACAGAGCTAAGTGAGAAGAACAGATTTCACAAGCTTTAGGGGCAAATGGAAGAAGGTAGAGGCTGAGTTACTTGGTGTAACAGGATAGATAACTGGATTTAGATCTTGTGCACACACACACACACACACACACACACACAAATAAAGGACTCGCTTCTTCTGGAAGTCATATGAAGACAGAAAACCTGAGTACAAGGGTTTTGAATAAAGCCATGGGCACCTGCTGGGGGGGGGGGGGGGGGGGGGGAACAGAAGGATACAAACCCCCTTGTCAAGGACCTCAGGAGCTGTTAAAGCCATCAGTGCACATCAAGACAGTATCTGCTGCCTCCATAAAGTCTATTTGCAACCCAACCACTGTGAGTGGCACAGACAGCTGCCCCACAGCATTCTCAGGGGACCCAGGATTCCTGGAGTTCCTCCTCCAGCCTCTGTTTCAGGCTAGGCTCCCTTCCAAACACAGGCCTAAAGCCCAGCTCCTGGGTCACTGCCTGCCAGCAGTGGCTCTGGGACCAGTTCTCAGCCATCTAGGCCGAGTCAAGATTAGGAGCTTAATTTTAGATTCTCACATTTGGCTCCCCGCTGGAGAGAGAGGACCTTCAGGGACAGATACAGAGTAAACAACACTGGGTTCATAACAGTTTAAAGAGAGCCAGCTCCTGTGTTCAGAGGGGTGTCCAAGAGGAGCCGACCCTCCTAATCCAAGGCAAGTGAACCCAGGTAGGAGGAAGCTTATTCAACTGTCAGTTCAGGTGGAAGAGTGCTGTGTCTCCACCTGTTCACCTGTGGGTGAATACCTGTAGACACTTACGGGTGGCCACACCTATTCACAGAGAACATACCAAGAGAACCTAAAGTGCCACAATTTGAGTAGCAAGGGAGGGAGGTGACCATAAGACCCACCAGCCATCTTCACAGCTGCCTTCTTGGGAAGGGGCAGCAGATCCCCTGGAATAAATAAGTTACCAATGCCACAGCTTATTTCAGTGCTACTTAGCAGAGGAAGACAGAGGCAAAGCCAGCACCATGTTACCACCAGCTCTCCACAAACACAGTTTGGGAACTGGCTCTATCAATACTTAGTTGCTAACAGAAGGCATCAACATAGCAGCTGGCTGCATCCCAGAGGGCTGCGCTAAATGCCAAGTTGAGATGCCAGGCAGGTCCTTCAGCAGCAGCCCCAGCACTGCCTCCTCAGCTGCCCTCACTGCAATGGCCTTTTCAGCCCTCCAATCCTTCCTGCCCTTCAGGGCCCAAATGCTGTGTGGGAGGAGGCACTCAGCACACCCAGCAGCTAGATGAACTGCCCATGGAGGTTTGGGACAAGCCAACATTAATAAAACTACTATATTTAAAAAAAAAAAAAGTCCTGCAATAAGGCAGCACAGCGCTGTACCACTGCTTTTGCCAAGTGCTCTGCAGCCAGTAGCTCTCAGCAAGGTCAGACATGTCCCAGACTCACACAGTACAAAGGCTGGAGACAGGCTTCAGTCTGTTCCAAGACCAAAGCTCACTTGGAGAGAGCTGTGACCAAGTGGCAGCATTTGTGAGAAGCTGTGGGGAGGCTGCCCTGCAGTGACCAGCTCAGGCTACTGCCCAGTCAGACCCAGGAACAGGCCCTCAGCTCTTATGTGCTGTCTTTGAAGCAGATGCTCTGAGGAGGAAGCAGTTCCCACTACTGGGGTCCCTCCTGACTCAGCTGATGGGATTCATGTGCCCAGAGCTTGTCTCCACTGTGCAGGGCTCAAAGCTCTGCAAGCTCCAGAGGAAGTGGCTGGAGTGAGGAAGCTGCAGGAGCAGGTGTACCTGGGTTCAGCTTTTCTGGTTCATGAGCCAAGAGAAGAGCAGTTTTCTGGGCCTGGGTTTCCTGGCCTGCTGGATCCGCACTGTGCGAGGAGAGCGCCACACCTTGATGGTAGCGTCATCGCTGGCTGTCAGGAGCAGCTCCTGCTCAACTGGGCTGAATGCCACCGAGTTGACCACATTATCGTGTTGCAGTTTGGCCAGGCAGATGTTATAGTGCCGGTCCCAGATGTAGCCGTGGCGATCCTCTGCCCCGCTATATCAGACAAGATAGCAGGAAGGGCATTAAACACGACCGCCTGGGTAACCTGCCTCTCCCAACCCTCTTCTTTAGGCAGACGGAGACAGAGGGTGCTTTTGACCTGGCCAGAGGCCCTAGCCTCCATCTGCAGTCTCGTCCTCTGAGAGCACTGCAGCCTGGGCAGGCAAATTGCTCTTGGGATCCAGACTCTGCCCCAGACAGAGGTGGGTTCCCAGAAGTGGAGCCCAAAATGAGGCCTCATAGCAGCAAGAAAAGTCTTTCAAAATGAACTCGGGACACACAGACAGTCAGGCTGTTGACTTGAAGCCACACTGCAGCACTTCCTGGCAAAGCCAGCTGTGAACTGCCCTGTTCATTGCAGCAAGGCTGTTTTAAGTGATCCCTTCAACTCACCCTACCAGCACTCGCTGCCTGCAGCCCCCAAGAAAGTCACTTGCCACCCACTGCCAAACATGCCACAGCCCAGTGTTTCCTCTTTCCACACAGATTTCACAACAGTGCCACAGCAGACGGCCTTCATTAGCACATCCCACCAGCACCTGGTGATTCAGTCACTCTGCTGTTTACAAATTTCCAGTTTTTGCTCTGCTCACAACACACAGGAATTTCCAGCACACAGACTAAGCCCTGCTTGCACAAGCCAGTCCTGCAGTGCCAGACCTTCACACCTTGCTACAAAATCCCTGCTGACATCCAGGAAGATGAAGAAGCACTCCTCATTGGGTGTATAGGCCCGATGCGCACGGAGGGCTCTTTTCACCTCCTTCATCGTCTTCAGGTCGAACACATGCAGATCAATCTCCTCAGCAATGGGAGGCGGCTGCATTGGGTCTGAGATCACACAGTCCCGTGGCCAGGCCCGGCTGTTCACGTACAGGTACCTTGGGGAAGGGAGTACAGCAAAGGGTTTACCCTGACACCTTGCTGCACGCTCAGAAAAGTCAGAGCCCCAGCTGTAAAAGCCTTTCGCACAGCCCAGCCCAGCCAGGTGGCACCTGAACAGTTTTTCTGGTTCCTAGCTAGCAGAGCTGCAGGCTTGTTAAAACCCAGTCTGCAACACTGGGTTGCAGCCTGCACGTTCCTGAACCACTACAGAACCACTTCCTGCCCTGTGTGGGAAGGAGAATGCCACCACAATTTGGACTATGGGTCCCAGAGGCTAGGCTGAACCTCTCTGGTCTCATTAAAACCAACTCCAAGCATGGTGGCTGCAGAGCATCTGATCAATCTGCCTCAGGGAAGAGGCTCATCGCTGTGGGCAGCTCCTTCACTCTTACAAGGCTCCCTGCCTGACCTCTAACCTGAAAGAGGCTCAGCCGACCAGAAGGAAGAAAGTTCTCCTGCTGAGATCTGGGGAGACGCTTGAGCCATACACGTGCCTTCAGTATTAGGTTATAAGTGGGACGTGGATGGACAGCAGCTGCCTGAGCAGGCTCCTTGCTCTATCCACTAAGCCAGCATACCACCAGTGCAGAGACTTCCCTCCGTCAACAGCACTTCAGCAACCTGCAGCAAAGGTCTGAAACCTCCAGCCAAAACCAGGTTAAATGCAGCAGGGCCAAGGGCTCTTTCAGGGCACATGGTGCATTTTCCAGAAGGTAAAGTTCACTGCTAGCACTCAGAGGAGGATGAGTGCCCAGTGTGCTCTCTGCCGTATATATATGTGAATAGGTCCCTGGGGATAATCCGAGCCTACAGGCATTTGAGTAAGATATTCCAGTTCCTCCGAGACTTGCAGCTACTTTGCTCTGGTTTTACTGGCTGTACAATCTACCCTAGTGTGGAGTACCTCATCCCAATGCCAAAGCAGATGGGTCTCTTCCCAGGGTGGAAGTTGCTGCTTCTTCTATTCATCCCAAAGAGTCCTTAAACAGCTGCCACCCCAGACTGCACCATGCACACCTTGCACTGCCTAAAGCCAGCAGGGAGCACCCACCCTGCATGCCTCCCTCCCACCACGCTCACCTGTGGTCAGGTGAGAGGCCCATGCCAATGATGTGTCCGTGGATGTCAATGACATGATCCAAGGAGTCAAAGAACTCATCTGAACGCCTCTCCTCCCCAAGCACTGGCCCAGCAGTTGTCATCTGATGAGGCAGGATCCTTTTAATCCCTTGGGGACAGAAAGCAGAGTCAGTCCATTCTGCAGGTTGTTGCCAGCACACAGCAGGATTGATGAAAGTCCCCAGGCTTCAGAGAAGAGCTTCCCTTAGCGCTGCTAAGAAAGGAGAACTGACTCACTCCTGGCCAAGAACCGAGGGAAGGGTCTGGGACAGGGCTCCGGTCCCTGCCAGGCTCTTTCAAGCTCTTGCTAGTGCTGCTTTTGACCAGGAACGTGCACACAAGTGACACTTTGGCACATTCAACCCCAGCCAGCAAGACACCCACCTGCTACCATCCTGTCTGGTGCAGCCACACCTAGTTCCAAGCCTGGGTCCAAGCCTCTCATGAGGCCGCAGAGCTGCTGTGAAGGGAGCTATGCTGGCTGTGGAAAGGTTTTTCCCCTGAAAGAAATCCTTTGGCCGGGCCCATAGTTTACAGCTTTTGAACTTCCAGACCAAGGGAGAAACACGCAATGGGTCAGGTCCTCTCCTTCTTCCAACTCCAGACAGAGATCCCAACCTATTAGGGCTCCCTGGATGACCATAAGTCTCAGTAATTTTGGGGCACATGTGGGTTTAGCCTCCCCAGCGTGTCCACGAGAAATCGGGATATGGCCCATCCCATTACCCTCCTGAGCACCCTCAATTTTGGCCCTCTACAGCAACCAGAGGAGGGTAGGGGGAACACCCCATTGCACCTCAGCTCAAGGCCATTCAAAGAACCACTGCAGCTGAACCTGGACACATGAGGAACTTCAGGATAGAAATCTTTGCTTTAGCCAGCCCAACTGTCAAGGCTCACCAGCACCTTTTTCCTCATTTACACAGCACCAAAAATCCCAGTTTCAAAAAGCTACGTGATCTCTGCATGCAGACACCAGCCAAACAGGCAGCATTTGCCCATGACTCAGACCTACAGCTAGCACAAGAGAAGCTTAAAGGAAACGCCTGCAGGAGAGATGCTCGCGAGTCACAGATCAGGTGAGGCTGAGCCGAAGCCCAAAAGCAGGCCTGGCCACCCCGGCAGCAGGGCTCCCACCAGCAGCTCCAGCCGCCCAGCAGACTGGGCAGAGAAGTATAGCAGCAAGCTCTTTCGAGTACCAGTTCCTCAGGGACAGGAAGAAGATACGCAAAGGATAGTTCAACACACAAACCTATGGGCCAAGCATATTGCAGTGACTCATGGCTGGGACAGGAGCCAAGCCAGGGTTCATCCCTCAGAACAACCAGTCTCTGCTCTGGGCACTGGCTTCAGGCCAGGGAGTCACTGGAGTTCAAAGGCACCAAAACTCACAGCCAAGGGAGGCTCTACTGGAAGTCAGAAGGGTCCAAAGGCAGCAGCTGCCTTAACACCATGCTTTGCTTTTTTACACACTGCAGGTCCCAGCATGCAATGCAGTGTTTGTTCAGCCAGGCAGATCAAGATGCATGCTGCTTACAGGGTCTGACTCACAGCAGGCCGCCCACCATGCTGCTGTGCTTTCAAAGGTGGGCCAAGGCCAGGGAGGCAGCTGATGTCTATCATGCCTGTCTGCGGACCCAGTCATGGATGGCAGCAGGGAGCATCAGGCTACGCTCAGTCAGGTTGCATTCTTATCTTAGGTAGGCAGAGACCAAGGGACTCTTCTCCAGGTTGTCTACAGCTTTGGAAATAGCCTTTCTCAGCAAGCTATCCTGTCTTATTCACCTGTACTGGTGCAGGCCAAGGAACAGAAGGATTAGGAGCACCTGTAGCCGGGAGGAGAGGCTGAAATAGCACAAGCAGCAAGAGGAACTAAAACTGCCCAGCTTTATAAGAGTCTTCTTGCCTGGAAGCAGCTCTCCTTCCCTCCCCACATTTTACTGCCTGGTTCTTTCCACTGAACTAAGCTAGCTCTCAGGGGCTTTTGAGAAGTAGCCAGACAGACTATTTGTTCATCACCACATTATTTCACCATACATTCAGATTCTTCTAGTTGTTGGGACACTGGGACAAGCCCCGAATAAGGAGGAAAAGTCCTAAACCAGAAAAAGGCTACCCACAGCACCATTGCTTGGCTAGTGCTACAGTTATAGATCCTTGTACCCTGCTGAGCAAGTGCAGGCTGAGCACCAGCAGGCTGCCTGGAATGACACTCACCACAGATGTTTGCTGAAGCATCTAATCATCTACAGTGAAACCCTTTCAGTACCAAACCAGTGGTTCAACTTCAGCTGCTCAGGTGCCCCACTCAGACTTAAAGGCCACATGATGTGTCATTAAACACTGGGCAGTGAGGGAGGCAGCTTGGCTGTGCTCCCCTCAGAGTTGGCTGTGACGGCATGGCAAGGCCCCATCTCCCAGAGCTGAGGGGCACTGGGTAAGCAACACACAACTCCAAGCTGCTCAGACTAGTCTTGTCAGGAAGCCCTCTCCACAAAGGAAACAGGACTGAGACCCTCCCACAAGCCCATGTCAAAGCAATCGCTGTCCTTCACCCCCACTCGCTTGTGTACAACACATGGCTGATGTTGTAAAGTCAGGGGCTTATTATCAGTCTTCTGCTTATCCCTTGCCATGAGTTTTCCATCTGGCCAAGTGTCGAGCTTGGCAGAAACAAAACAGACTTAAGCCAAGTGCTTGAGGGGTGGAACACCCTTCAGCTACTGCAGGTACCTAAAAAGCCTCCTGCATCAAGAGTCCAGCAGCCTGAGCAAGACTGCAGCGCATTCAATATAGACACAAGCAGTAAATAAAACAGGTATTTTCCAGATTGAAAAAAGTCAGTGTCGTTGCAACTATGCTCAGCCTATGCTCCCAGGGAGGCTGGTGTGCCCTGGAGCTCAGACTACACCTTACCTATCTGATGTGGAGAATAGGTGAGGCATCCTGTGGTGAAGATCAAGTATTTTGTCTTGCTATTGCTGTCCGTGGGGAGCAGGTTCAGCTCGGGCGGTTTAGTTCTGTTGCGTATGAACAGCTCAGCCACCTTTGTCTCTAGCTCAGTCTCAGTCATGGCAGGCCTCACACGGCCCTCCATGATATCATCAAAGAACTGCTGCAGCCCATCCTCTGCTGTCACACCCCCGTCATCTGGCAATTCCTGTCCTGCTGGCTCTGCAGTCTGCTTGGGCTTGGCCTCCTCTTCCTCACTGTCACTGCCAAGATCAAAGACTGGGCAGGTGGAGGTAGAAGCAGCTAGCTGCTCCTCATAGTCCAGGAGCAGATCTGGGGAATCGTACCGGCTACAGTCAGCCACCATCACTGTCCGGATAGTGCTGGCATTCAAGTTCTGGATTTTAAACAGTCTCTTCACTACATTCACATTCTCAGACTCTATGCCCTGGAAGCAAAAGACAGGTAAGCAAGAACCACCTCACTGGAGGCATGTTGATCCTACAGCCTCTGCTCAAAGAGCCACTTGCCCGAACCTTAAGCCCACCCAGGGGACCCCAGTCAAGCACCTGACCCCTCTTAGCACTGGGGAGCTCAAAGCACTGCAGATCATGAGGCTGGCCAGCCTTGTGGACTGGTTCTCATTATGCTCCTTGGAGGTGGGAGCGCCGAGACAGAAAGCCAGGGCCAAGTTTATGCATGCAGACAACAGCTGAGCTGGAAACAGAGGCCAGGCAGCCTTGCTCCCACCTCTCTGCCTGAGGTCATTTGCTGGCACAGCCTGTCGCATGACAAGAATTTCAGGAACAGGCCTCCATGATAAACATAGGTGCAGTATGAAGTACCATGCCTCTGGCATACAAGAAGCAGAAAAAGAAGACCTCAGCGCTCTTGGAGTTTGCATGCACCCCTCAATGGGATCAGCCCGGTTCTCAGCTCCCAGCCACGAGCAGCAGGTCTCTCCCTAGCACAAAGCTTTGGCAGTCAGCAGGCACACTTCAACAGCCCTGTCAAATTGGGCAAGGTCCTTCCTTGCCTCTTGCGGATAGAGGATTTAATGCTGTAGTGTCAGTGCAGCACAAGCATGTGATTACTGTAAGGGTTACTGCAATGCAATACAGCTACAGAGGATTTCACCTAGGGCCAGCACCAAAGCTTTGGGTCAAAGAAAAAAAAACAAGAGGGTGTGCAGTTGTGACATTTTGTGACAGAGGCAAGACATGGAAGAGGAACACACCTCAATCCAGAAGGCAGAGGCACAAACGGCAGAGAACGGACAAGCAGCAAACAAACAGTCTGACCAGTGCACACTGATCTCTAGGTCTAACCACAGCACAACTGAGAGCACCGGGCCCACGAAAGTCTCAGCAAGTGGCAGGCAGGACTAAGTTCAGCCTCCTGCCAGCCTCCAACACCAGGAAACAGCACACATAGCTGGCTCCCAAGCGGGAGAATGGTCACTGCTCAGGTACATGCCAGTATACAGCCACCCCAGGCCCAAGCTTTATGATCTGAAGGAGTTCAGCAACCCTGCTGTGCTTCCTCCGCTCTCCCTTTAGCAAGACAAGCTCTAGGGCACTGCATTCAAGTCCTTATCCCTGTTGACAAGGCAGAAGATAACAAAAGCAGAAAGTACAGAGCTGGAAGGTGAGGAAGAGACTATTGCAATGGGTACCACAACACTGAGTGCAGAGAAACCTCATGCAAGGGTTGCCTCAAGCTAAAGATCCTGAGAGCAAGCCTGATGAGGGAAGCATGACTGAGTTGCCTTGTCATCTTAATTTGTCTCTCCAACCTCCTCAGCAGTTTTTCCTCCCACAAGAGCCAGCAGGAAGCTGTACTGCCCACAGAGTCAGAACAAAGGCACCTCACCTGGAAAGCGTTGTTCAGCCATAGCACAGAACAGGAGGTTATACGCCCAATCCGATGCAGATTGCCAGAAATCAAGTTGGTTTCATTCAGCCAGCAGCCAAACACATCGTAGGGTTTATTCCTCACCCTGGAAAGTAGTGTAAAATTCTCTGGAAGGGAGGGAAAACACAAGCATGAGGTAATGGCTTCTTACAAGGGCTCTGGAGAAACAGAGGCAGAAGATAGGGGAAACAGATTCAAGTCTTGGCTAACAGCAGCAGAGGCACTGATGTAGTGCCTTTAGTGGAAGCTGAGCAGACGTGGGCCAGTTACTGTCCAGCTTCCAGTCACTACTATGGACATAGATAATTCCTCTCTTCTATAGGCATCTGAGGGGAGAGCACGCACAAAATGGAAGGGCAACCAAATGGAGTCAAACCAGAAAGCCATCTAGCCTCATGTCCTTTCTCCAAGCACAGCCCAAAGCAGACACCGCAAGGAAAAGAACAGGCCAAACATACAAGACTTTTCAGCACACTCTCAGGCTCCCACCTTTGTCGCTTAGGGCCTTTTTGAACAATACAGTTGTGCATTTAGCAACACTCCTTGATTTTGGCACAGTGACTAGGACTGCAGCACAGAAATAGCAAAAGATAATGCAGTTGGGAGTAGTGGGGTTCACAGGACTAGAGCAGAAAAGGTAGAGGGGCCAGGATGGTTGCACCTCAGAAAGCCACCTGGGACCTCAGGGTGGAACCAGCAAGTAACAGCATGGGTCAGAAATGGTAGCTTCAGGACAACAGGTAATATGGGCAACTCCTGCCTTGCCCAGACCCTCACTTAGAACTGAAGTTAAGTGACGATATTAATGCCAGACTACTACTGTTCTAGGTGATGACATGATGACCTGAACAGAGATAACTAACATTATCCAGAAAGTCTACCCTATGGCACTGCAAGATAAAGACCCCTTTGCACAGATGGTAAAAGGCAAGACAAGCAGAGGTCAAGACCACAGCACACGTAAAGAGCAAGGGAAGGAAGGGAACCCTGGCACTAGGAAGCCCCAATGGAGGTAAGGGCAATAATTACCCATACTGATTACAGCAATCTCTCCTGACGAAGAGTTGTGAGGCCCCACAAAGACACCTGATACCAGAAGGAGGGAGTCATCCGAGTTAAACTGGGAGAACTGTGTGTAGCTCCAGTTATATGGCCTCATATTGGAGCTGTGCTGCAGGGAGATGTCCAGCTCATTGCTCCAGATCTGAAAGCAAACAGACAGTTATGAAGCTGTTAGGAAGCCGGACAGTTCTGCTTTATCTGTCCTGCCAGCACTCATGAGGGAAGTTGGGGAGGGGGGAGAAAAAGAACTCCCTATCTAATTGCCTCCAAGTTCTGATCTCCCTTACAAGCCCCTTCATGAAAAAGGGCCAACAGTTTTGGAGAATAACTGAATGCAGAATTGCTTCTCCATCACTGAGCCAAGCAGTGAATGTTACTGCTACAGCTGTATTTTCAGTACGTCGAGAGAGATTTCTCCTAAGATAATCATTCATGCAAGTCACTTTCTGCAGTAGATCCACATGGTCCCTGTTACATCAACAGCTCAATGGAGGACTGATTTGCAGCTAGAAAGCACCCAGAGCCAGGTAGACACCTCTCCCATCTTCAGACAGGCTAGAGCTGCAATCCACAACCCTCAAGGCTACATTTGCAAGACTCATCAGTCCTGTGGCTTCGAGGACAGCTCAGCATCTGCAGGGACAACTGCAAGTCCAGGTACCCCTGGGCAAACCTCTCCTCTCCAGGCTTCTTAAAAAGCTAAGAGGTGCTCTCAAGGCTAAGCCCTACTAAATCAAAGCTGGAAGATTTGCATGGGGGCATACTACCACTTTACCTTAACAGTACAGTCTTTGGAGCACGATGCAAACAAACAGCCGGAGTGGGAGAAGCTGAGGTGCAAAACCTGGTCATTGTGCTCCTTCAGAGCCTGCACTTCAATACAAGGAATGGTGTCATAGAGCCTCTGGAACTCGTCATACCAGGAAACAGCAGCTGAAACACATGAGCAAGGACATCGGACAGGAACTCAGGTGGGAGGGTAGAGACAGACCCGAGCTACACAGGGGCACAGAATAAGTCTTTAATGAAGCACATCCCAACTGCTGCTAGCAATGCTGGGAGCTTGGCTGTGGCCAAGGTCCCTACGGCTTCAGCTCTTGCTAGCAGGGCCTAAGACCTGTTCTCAGTAGCTTCCCCACTCCTACACACACAGCCCTTTCTTTCAGAAAAGACACAACTCCTTAGCATATCACTACTTTCTAAGCCATTTACAGCCACCGCAAGAACCAACCAGGGCACAGCTGTTAGATAATAGCTTTTAGCTATCTAAGAAAAACTTTTTGCAGGACAAAACAGCAGTTGGAACTGCACACATACCCCAGCATAATGAAAACAAATTCATCACATGATGACAGGAAAGTTGTTCCTTAGAGTACTGGGCTCTGTTCTGATTATCTCTGTCTCATCTCATACAGAATTAAGAGGGATCCAGAAAGGGTATGAGACTGACAGGGTGGGGAAGGGGACATGGACAGACTTCCATGAGACAAAAGACTGGGAAAAACAAGAGAGAAGAACTGGAGTTGAACACATTATGTCAGGACAGACGAGGAATCTTGCAGTAAAAGAGTTTGGAGCACACTCAGGGAAGTCATACTGAAGGCAAATAAATAGATAAACAAAGAGGATTTTTAATGAAGTGCCCAGTAAGGCAACCTACAGACTTCTGGCAGCAGCAAATCCTGAAGAAGCAAAGAGGATTAGACATTTATTTGGACAATGGCCAACTTTCCTAGTTACACTGAACAGGACCGAAGGTTTTTTGGAAATCTTTCACTGCAGTCCAGGAGACACCTGCTCTTGGAGGCAGGGAACAATTAGCTGCCAGGTTATCTCAACATCACTCACTAGGCAGGGGGCTTCACCCCCCTCTGAGGCATTCAGTCCCAGCCCATCAAACAGGGAAGCAGTCCTGACAAATCCCATCTGGCCTAGCAGTTCCAACATTTCTGCTTATAAGACCCAAGCTACACCACACCAGAAGGTTGGCAGTTGATTTTCCAAAACTCCTGTTTTGGTCTTTTCCTGGGACTGGCGGCGGGCACCCCCTTCCCCAGGAACCTTGTAGATGATTTTCACAGCTCCGGATGTGCAGCCTGGAAGGTGCCTGGATATATTACTGAATTACATTGACTACTCATTCACAATCAGCACTAAAGAGCAGGGTTGTCAGCTTATAAAATCCAAGGAGCATGAGGTAAACACAGCCTGGTCAAAGAGCCTCAAATAAGAAACTAAAGGTAACTACTCCAACCCTGTAGAGTTCATAGAGCCTGTGCAAGTAAAAAAAAAAAAAAAAATCAAGCATTATTCTAAGTCATCACATCCACATCTCATCTGCTCTTCCTCAGAGCCCTCTTGCACCAGGCTCCCTACTCCCTGTGTTCCCTACTGCAGGGAGACCTGGGCTCCCAGTCACTTCTTCCTCACAGTTTCTTCTCATCCTTCTGTAGGGACCGCAACTAACGAACAAGAGGCCACGCTACCCTCTGGCGCAGCCATCCTCAGAAGCACTGTGCACCCTCTCTGGGGCAGAGGAGGGCATGCAGCCCTCCTGGACTTCTGCAGCATGCTGGGAACAGGCATTTCTGACTCCAAGAGAGACTCACCTTGACAACAAGGGCTCATAACACCAGATCCCCAACACTTGTCTCAGCAGGGCTTGACAGTATTAGACTACCTTCTAAGACAGGATCAGAACAGTAATAGAGAGCTATGATTGTATGACCACCAGCATTGAGCCTGTTGATAGCTTTACCTGGAAAAGGCCATGCAGGGCTCAGAGTTGATGCTGACTGTTAATAGGTTATTTTCCTAGTGTGGGCGTAGGCCAAGATCAAGTCAGACCTGACCTAGCAAGTGGGTCAGCTATTAACAGTTGCCCACTGTACAATTAAGTTTTTGCACACCCACCTCCCTCTCCAGACAGCACGTTCACCCTCTACAGCCAGGCTGCAGCTACTGCCTACAGCATATGGAAAGGTAAACTTGATCGACTAATACACACTCCCAGCTCTTCCTAGCCGGGACAAGGAAGGGACAGAGCCTGAGGTGCAGGCTTGCTGTAAGGTCCCAATCTTGATCAGAAAAAGCCAGCAGTGATTACCATGGAATCCAAAACAGCTGCAATACAGCAGGCCAAAGCAACTCACTGCATCTCTTCAGGGCCTTCTTTAAGAGCAGCAGCACTTAGACACACTGTAAAGCAGCTACCAGAGACAGTCTGCCTGCACTGCAGAAGGCTAAACCCCCCCCCAACCACCACCTTTCTGGGGAAGAAAGGGACAGTCTAAGCATTTTCAAACATTTGATGCCACCTTTCCGAAGGGCAAAGATAGTCCGTGGGCCTTTCACACATGGGCCCCCATCCACAGGCCCCCACCGTTTAGCGGCTCCATCGCACCCAACACCAGCAGCAAACAGAGGGCCGAGTAGCACAGGGAGAAGAGCTCTCCCCTTCCCGCCGCTACGGGCTCACAAGCGGGACCCTCGCTCGGCTGCCAGCCCCCCAGGGGCACCCAGGCAGGGCAGCCG